TTCTGTAGATGTAGACTAAGCCCTACTATTGTTACCTCTTTGTCCCTGTTTAGAAGAAGGACAATTTCTGAACCTGTGACCAGACTGACCTCACCCAAAGCATATTTTCTTTCCTACAAGACACTCACCCGGATGGTTCTTACCACACTTTGGACAAGTAGGGTAGGTCTTGTTACCTCAAGTACTCCATTGAGACTTAAAGCCTGATGCCCTACCTTTTTGATCATTTCGAAACCTAGAGGATGGAGCACTAGCTGATGAAGGTGCTGGAGCTGAAGATTTCTACTGAAACTGTGAGCTATTTCCACCACCAGTTTTCTACTGAGAGTACTCATAGTTGCCTGTTCTAGCCTCTTTTTTTTCCTTACCTAGTTCTCTAAGCTTATCTCCCTCAACCTACTGACCATGAGTCATGAGCCTAAATATATTCATATTTTCTAACAACATAGCATTTCTACACTCTGTCTTCACTAAGTCAGATATGCTAAAGAGGAACTTACTCATTTGTGCCATGGGATCGGCAACCATATGTGGAGCATACCTGGAGAGCTAGGTGAACTTAAGTTTGCACTCTTGGACTCACATTGAAACTTGTCTCAAATTCATAAATTCCTGAGCCTTAGCCTCCCTCAACTCTCTTGGGAAGAACCTGTCCAAAAAAGCTTCGGGAAAACACTCCCAACTCACAGGAGTTGCATCCTCACCCTTATTTTCCTTTCACTGCATGAACCATATGTGAGCCAAATCCTTAAGCGGGAAGGACGCCAACTCTACCCTATCATTTGCAGTCATTTGCATCACTCCAAAGATTTTCTTGACCTCATCAATGAAGTTATGGGGGTTTTCACCAACTTGCGACCCTAGAAACTCGGGCGGATTCATCCTAACAAAATCTCGGACCCTAGCTGCCACTGATCCACCAGTAGTATTTGTAGGAACTGGAACCTGCTGATTGTTCTAGTTGGCTACACTCTGAGCCAAAAGTTGGATAACATTCTGAAACTGTACGTTCGAAACCTCATGGTCTGGGACTGCAGGAATTGCATTAGCATGGCGTTCATTAACATTCCTTAGGTAAGTTATACAATAAGGCATGATCTGAAAAGCATAACATCGAATTAGAAATGTGAAGTTGGATCATACCTTACGCACGATAAGAGTAGCAAAGAAAGTGAAGTATTCCTAAAACACCTCGTAGTCTCCCTCTCATTAGATGTGGTGCACTTCACACCCATGAAAGAGACTCTACTTTGTGCGGCTTTCAGACATCCTAGGACTCTTTAACCTAATGCTCTGATACCAAGTTTTTCACTCCCCGAAGCTACCATATTGATGTAAACAGGGGACCTAGGATCACGAGTGACCCCAAGTTAACCCTGAGCTAGCATATCATACGCATACTTAAACAACAAAACAAAAGATACTATACGGAAGCTTAAAACATGAGATAAATTGAATGATGGGGAATACCCAATATTGGTCTGAATATATAAATACTGAATAAGAGTTAATGATATTGGTCTATAACTCAAAAATGCAACCTGAATCTAGCTATGTCTTAATAAAGCCTCTAAGTTACTAGAGATGCAGGTACATGCCCCCAGCTAACTCTAGCAAAACTGAAACTGAAATAAAAAAACATGTTTATTGTCCTCAAAGTATGAGGACTCGCCACTGATGCTGATGAATACGGATCGGGAACCGAACAACACGTGATATGAATGCTGAAAACCTCAACCTACATCACGAAAAAATGTAGCGCAAACTCATACTGAGCATGCAGGATAGGATAAAGTTGAACAAACATACAAAGCTGAACAAAGCATACTGAACAATGATATAATCTGAACATAATGAAGATGCTGAAATATATAGAATGAACTAAACTGGATGTAATGACCAAGTACATAACATGCCAAAATTGAATAATGAAATATAACTGAAAACCTGGTCAAATGTAATAGAGTCTGACTGTGAGAGCTACTACTAACCGACATAAAACCACGTGAGCTAAACATAGAGTATGATGCATACGTCCCATCAAGAGGACCCAATATACCTTGCCAAGGGTATAAAGGCATGACTGGCGTGATCACTAAATCTGATTCCCAACATATGGGACTTATAAACCTATGGGGGAACATAGTTATGGGACTATGAGGGTGACTAACAATAGTCCAACTCGGTGTTAAGCCTACTCCCAACTGAAAAATATGTACAGTACAACATAAGTGAATTATACTGGATAGCTCAATATTCTAACATGCTAACTGAAAATGCAACATTTAAGTACTGATAATAAAACATTCAAAAATTGAAGCATGTATATTTGTTTATCTGTCTTAGCTAGTGTACCTCATGAACTAAACCAATCTACACAACTAGGGTTCTGAGTTTCATGCAAGGAACTAAGGAACAATGTTACGAAAACATGATAATCTGAGTAAGAGTACTACAACATCTAAATCACAGCGATTCTCTAAATTTCAAGAAACCCTAGGTCTAAACAATTTGTAGGGAAACAAGAATCTGACTGAATTCTAGGGACCTAATGGGTGAAAGGAACCCACTAGTGCAATCCCACATACCTGGTGACGAATTTCACAGAGAAATATTTCGATTTCGGGGCTGAAACTGAAGAAAACTTGTTGCATTCTTGGAGGGGTTTGGGTCGCCTCTTTCTCCTCTTTTGCTCCAAGCTTGATGAATTCTAGTGAATGAATCGCTCAGGGTAAGTTCTAACTAAGTCACAAGGCTAAAACTGACCAAAATGACGTAGTTTAGGGATTAAACGACGTAGTTTAGGTGTCCAATGCATAAAGGAAAAGTCCAAAACGACCCAAGTTGATATCTGTTGAAGCCACCGACGGACCGTGGACTGACCGACGGTCCGTCCTGGCAGAGCGTCGTTTGGCTTCAGAGAGCTGGTGTTAAAGGTCACGATCCACAAACCGGGACCACGACCCGTGGTCTGACCTACAGTCTGTAGGTCTGGCCCTGGGTCGTGCCTTTTTAAAAAAAATTCTAGGTAGAGTTGAGGTGACCAACCACGGGCTTCACCTACGGTCCATAGGGGGCTTCAGCACTTTTGTCCTTTTCGAATCTGGGGTGTTACACTTCTTTAGGTGCTACTAATGTTATTTCATCAAGCTATTCTCATCAACCTTTAATGATTCCTCCATTGCCTTCTTTATCTTAATCGGTCCATGTCAATTCTGCCTCTCCCAACATTCTTTAGTTCCTTTATGGGTCAAATTGGACAGCCCACTCTCTTACCTTTTCCTGGATCAATGGAATGACCAATTACATCAATTTTTCACTCTGCAGCGGCATTGACTATCAAATTAAATTTTGTTGAAGATTATCTCACTTGGCATACTTAATTCACCTCTTTGTTACTTTCTCATGAATGGGTTGGCTTCGTAGATGGCTCTATATCTACGCCACGTCAATATGTGATGCATTTGGTAACCAACAAGTTAACCACCACGATCGTACATGGCTAACAGCTTATCAAAGTGTACATTCATGGTTGTTTGCTATATTATCCAGAGATGTTCTTGTTGATGTTCATTTGCTGCCTACATCGCGTGATATTTGGCTCTCTTTGAACCGACATTTGATGGATGCTAGTCAGGCTAAATTAGTTGAACTCAAACGTCGACTTACTACTATGCGAAAAGTCGATTCCATGACAATTTATGAGTATCTTTGAAGGCTAAAAAGATAGTTGATTCCCTTGCTGCCATCAATTCTCCCGTTCCTAATCAAGATTTTGTAGATCATATTCTTCTTGGGTTAGGCAGGGAGTATGACACATTGGTTGGCATCATAACTTACTTTCCAGGTCAACTATCTGTTGAGGAACTTCGCACTAAGTTGTTGCTACATGAGCAATGTCTGCAGCTTTTTAAGGAATTAGACTAGGTTGTCCTAATGGATAGTAGTATAACATAACTCAAACTATAAAACTCCTATAAGTACTAGACTAGGAATATTGAACTAAGAGTCCTAATGGATAGTAGAGGGCGAGTTTGTAGCAACCGAAAATCATGAAGAACAAGTTAAAGTAGAAAACAAACCTACTTTGTTTTGCAAATATAGTTGTTTAAAGATAATTCCCTTTTTACATCAATTTTATTCTTTTTTTTAGGTGTAGAAAAGAAATTATTGTCCCACTATTTGAATGAGTATATTGATAATATGGTGTTTTATTTCTTTGTAATTAACCATGATGTTTTATACTATATATATAAATATATTTGGGCATCCATTATTCCATGTGTTTGGATGTGTTAGTACGTATGTAAAAGAATATGATTAATTTCTATCTGATTATTATATCTATTTAATAAAATATATAACTAGCATAGGGATATTAGTTGTTCAAAGGAGATATCCTACAATTAATGAAAGGAATTTTTGACATTAAAAACACTAATAACTATCAACATGAGTATTAGCAAACGGAAAATTTGGTCGCTAAAAGAGGTACAACGACGGGTTTTTTAAAGTCTTTTAAAGGATTCTTAACGACCGGATTGAAATCCGGTTGTAAACTTTAACGACGGAACTTTTAATGACCGATGACGACCATAACTTTTTCAGTCGTAATTTATTAATAGTGACCGGATTTGGACTTTTAACGACCAAATTTTTGCTCGCTAAAAACCATTTTTCTTGTAGTGTAACATTCTTTCTTTCGTGACATTACTTGAATCCAATTGGTATCTAGGTTATACAAATTTGTATCCAACCTTCTTCGCTTTATTTTGCAGATGGTCATAAATAGAGCAATAACTATAGCAACACCAGCACCTGCAAAAGAGGATGCACTTGAGCCAACCGTTGGGGTTGTAGCCCGATGGGGAGTAGTGGCGAGAGGTCGTAGTAGAGGCCGTGGAGAATTTCCACCAGTGTAGAGGTCAGGCAATTGGGCCAACTAGGGATAGAGCAGTAAACCCTCCACCGGCCTATGACATAGCAAGAGAGGGTGTGAGATGGAGGATGAGCAGATTAATGAGTTGAAAGCACCACCCCAACCTACTCCAGACTTGATCAATCAGGTTCTCACTTATCTCAGCAGGTTATCTGATCAAGGCCAAGCACCTCAGCGCTTTCTATGCTAGCACCTCAGGTTCAGGGAGTACAATATGCAACTCTTGGGTCTCCTCGCATGTATGTGTCCTTGGAAACAAGTGTGTTTCTCCGATTGACTACAGGTCCTATAATGACTAGTGACCAGCATGATCTCTTTTTTTAGTTCTTAAAGTAAAAATTTCCAGTTTTCAAGGGAATTGCATTTGAAGATGCTTATGATTTCCTTGTTGATTGTTATGAGCTATTTCATAATATGGATATAGTGGAGTGATTTTGGTGTTGTGTTTGTGACATGTCAATTCTAAGGAGACGCTAAAATGTGGTGGCAGTCTCATGTTGAGTGCCGAACAGCAAAGGCACTATATATGACTTGGGTAGCATTTTCTAGCTTCTTCATGGGGAAGTATATGCACCCGGACTTTAAGGGAAATGAGGAGAGATGAGCTTTAAATATAGAGCAAGGGAATATGTTAGCTTATGAGGCCAAATTTCATTATTAATCTGGGTATGCCACTCAACTTTGCTTTAGTCCGCAAGAGAGGATTTTCCTCTTTGTGAAGGGACTAGGTCAGATTTGCACGTTATAGCTTTACACGTGGTTGCTTTAGTAAAATCTTTTTAGGAAGTGCTTGATTTTGTGATAAAGGTAGAGGGGGTGAAGCCAAATGATTTCGGCAAGGTTACAACATTCAAGAAGTTCTCTAAGGGAGGTGAGTTTAGTGTTTCTTACTCTAGATGGCAGAGTTTTGGGGGTTATCAATCCCGTACTATTCATTCTTCATTTTAGGTTTTTAACTGAGGGTCTGTCACAGACCAGTCAACCTTTTTCTGAGTTTAGAGGTATCTTCAGTCTTCTTCATCTTCACAGAGATCTACTCTTGACTCCATGACTTGTTATGGATGTGGTGAGGTTGGGAATATTAGGAAATACTTTTCAAGGCAGAGCTAGGCTTGGTATGATCAGGGTTACAAATCCCCAACAATTACAGGTAGGGTGGTTATGTTAGAGGTTGTCATACTGGAGAATGTATGGCCAAGGTAATCGTGGTCACCGGTCTGGCCAGGGTGGCGGGCCGGTTGGAACTACTAGAGTGCAGCCAAGTAGGGGCAATGGTTATACAACTGATAATGCCCATTGTTATTCTTTCCCCGGGAGGCTACAAGCATTCGATGTTGTTATCACATGTACTGTTCTAGTCTACGATCCACTTTTCCTTATATATCGCCCTGATTAGCTAATGAACTTGAATTGCATTGTGACTTACTTGACATGGTTATTCGTGTTTCTACTCCTATGGGTGAGTTTGTGCTAGTTGAGAATGTGTATAGGTCTTTCCTTGTGACTATTTTAGGAGTAAAAATTATGTGGATTTGATTATTTTGGAGATGATACACTTCGATGTAATTCTGGATATGACTTGGCTTTCTCCAAAATTTTCTATCTTAGATTGCAATGCTAAGACCGTGACCTTGGCCAAGTCTGGGTTAGATCCTCTATTGTGTGAGGGTCATTATATTCTCACCCTAGTTTGGATTATCTCTTTTCTTCGTGTTAAGAGGTTGGTGAGTAAGGGTTGTTCAGCTTTCTTGGCACATCTCAGGGATAATACTTCCAAAGTGCCTTTGATTGAGTCTGTTTCTATAGTCCGTGAGTTTGTGGATATTTTACTTGCAGACCTGCAATGTATACCACCAGACAGGGCTATTGATTTTTATATCAACCTAAAGTCGAGGACTCGCCCCATTTCCATTTCATCTTAAAGAATGGCCCCTGCTGAGTTGAGGGTGTTAAAGGCTCAACTTTATGAGTTGTTGGGTAAAGGTTTTATTAGACCGAGCGCCTCTCCTTGGAGTGCTCCAGTTTTTATTTGTGAAGATGAAGGATGGTAGTTGTTGGATGTGCATAGACCACAAGCAGCTGAATAAGGTAACTATTAAGAACAAGTAACCCATTCCTCGCATTGATGACTTGTTCGATCAGTTACAGGGTGTTTGTGTCTTCTCTAATACTTATTTAAGGTCTGGTTATCATCAACTGAAAATGTGGGCAATGAATGTGCCAAATATTTTTTTCAAACAAGTTATGGACATTATGAGTTCTTAGTAATGTGTTTTGGGATTACAAATTCCCATACTACTTTCATGAGCTGGATGAACAAAAATTTTAAGCCATATCTGGTGGATCACTTTGTTATTGTATTTCTTGATGATAGATTGATCTACACAAGCAGGATAAACATGAAGCGCATCTGAGAATTGTATTGGGGTTGTTCAAGGAGAAAAGACTTTATGCCAAATTCTCCTAGTGTAAATGTTGGCTCGATTTAGTGTACTTCTTGGGGCACATGGTTTCTAAGGATTGAGATGATGGATCCCACGAAGATTGAAGCACTGATTTTTAGATAAGGAGGCCCTCTAATTTTTCAGAGGTAAGGAGCTTTGTTGGTTTAGCTAGCTACTACCGTCGGTTTGTCAAGGGATTCCCTCTATTGCTTCCCAGCTAACCAATTTGACCTAGCAAAATGTTCCATTTGTATGGTCAGATGAGTGTGAAGAATTTTTTCTAAATTTAAAGACCTTTTAAACTACTACATTGATTTTTCTCTTGCCTGTGGAAAGTAAGAATTTCATTTTTTGTTGTGATGCATCTTATTCTGGTTTAGGTGTCATTCTAACGCAGGAGAGGAATGTAATTTACTATGCTTCAAGGCAATTAAAAGTGCATGAACATAACTATCTGACCCATAATTTGGAGTTAGTTGAGGTTTTATTTGCATTGAAGCAGTGGAGATATTATCTATACAAGGTCAAGTGTAAAGTGTATATAGATCATCGCAATCTACACTATGTGTTGACTTAGAAAGATTTGAATTTGAGGTAAAGTAGGAAGATGGAGCTACTGAAATACTATAACGTTACTATTCTTTATCACTCAGGAAAAACTAATGTTGTGGTTGATCCCCTGAGTAGAAAAATAGGGAGAATGGGGAGTTTAGCCCATTTACAGGTTTCTAGACACCCATTGGCTAGAGAGGTTCAAACTCTGGCTAATGAATTTATGAGGCTGGAAGTAATTGTGAAAGGAAGATTTTTGGCCTGTGTGGAGGCAATATCTTCTTTTCTTGACAAGATTAAAGGAAAGCAATTTGATGATGAGAAGCTGAGCCGAATTCGTGATATGGTATTGTGAGGAGAGGCTAAGGAGGTTGTGATTGATGAGGAAGGCATCTTGAGGATTAAAGGGCGGGTATGTGTGCCCTGTTTTTAGGATTTAACTCCGACTATTCTTCTACAGGCTCATAGTTCGAGGTATTCTATATATCCTGGTGCAAACAAGATGTATCATGCTATGAGAAAACATTATTGGTGGAGTAGAATTAAGCATGACATTGTTGATTTTGTTTCCCAATGTCCGAATTGTCAGCAAGTAAAGTATGAGCACCATAGGTCTGGAAAAACACTTCAGAGAATGCCCATTCCTGAATGGAAGTGGGAATGGATTGCAATGAACTTTGTGGTTGGTCTTCCAAAGTCATTGGGTAGGTTTGATTCCATATGGGTGATTGTTGACAGGTTGACTAAGTCCACACACTTTATTCCAGTCAAGGTGACTTATAATGTAGAGAACTTAGCCAAGCTCTATATCTGCGAGATTTTTCAATTGCATGGAGTTCTCATTTCCATCATATCAGATAGAGGTACACCGTTTACTTCTAACTTTTGGAGGACCTTGCAAGCTGAGTTATGAACTAAATTGGATCTTAGTACCGCATTTCACCCTCAGATCGATGGCCAGTCTGAGCGAAAAATTCAAGTGCTGGAGGATATACTTCATGCTTGCAGGGTAGATTTTTGTGATCATTGGGATCAGTTCTTACCCTTGGTAGAGGTTTCATACAAGAATAGCTATCACTCGAGTATTGATATAGCCCGGTTTGAGGCATTGTATGGAAGAAGATATAGGTCCCTCATTGGTTAGTTTGATTCATTTGATGCAAGACCTTGGGTATAAATCTTTTGAGGGAATTGTTAGAGAAAGTGAAATTCATTCATGAGAAGCTTCTAGCAACTCAGAACAGGCAGAAGGAGCATACATATCGGAAGGTCAAGGACTTGGATTTTATTGAGGGAGATCAAGTCTTGCTAAGGGTTTCACCCATTAGGGTGTGATGAGGTTTGGTAAGCGAGGTAAGCTTATTCTGAGGTGTAATGGGTCGTTTGAAGCTCTCAAGCGTGTGGGAGAGGTGGAATATGAATTGGCTTTGCCTCGAGGACCGTTAGGAGTGCACCCGTTATTTCATGTATCTATGTTGAAGAAATACATGGTGATGAGAATTATAGTATTCATTGGGGTTCAAATCCTACTTGATGAGAATCTATCTTATTATGAGGAAACTGTACCTATTCTAGATAGGGAGGCCCACAAGTTGAGGTCAAAGGAGATTTCTTCTATGAAGGTCCAGTGGAAAAATCGTCCGGTTGAGGAGTCCACCTCGGACGCCAAGGATGATATACATGGAAGATATAGATACCTTTTTGCCGATTCAGGTACCCTTTCTTACCCTCGCCTTCTTTTGATCGTTCGAGGATGAATGATAGTTAAATAGGTATCTAATGTAATGACCCATTAATTCTTTTTGATTATTAAAGCTTTTTATCTCATAAAAGAATCTTCCGATAGATCTAAATTGGTAGCTATGTCGAGATCAGATCCTGGATTGATTGTCGGGGTCGTGTCTAGGTTTGAGTGCCAAGGTCGGGGTCGAATCCTAGTTCGAATGTTATGTATTGGGTCATAAATTGGGCCAGGTCCTAGGTGAGATCTTAGGTTGGATTGTGAATTGATCGTCGAGGTCGTATCCTAGTTCAGATGTCGAGGTCAGGATCGGGTCTTGGATAGTTTTCGAGATTGGTTTCCAATTCAGAAACTATTTTCCTAAAAATTATTTTCTACTCTCTAGCCAAAAATAAAACAAATATTTTTGGAAAATGCTTTTTCAATCACCAACCAAACACTAATTTTTTTTCAACCAAACATGAGAAAATAAGTTAGAAATCAACTTATTTTCCAAGAAACATTTTTCATGGAAAATATTATCCATCATACCAAACACACTGTAGAATGAAACAACAACATATCCAGTGTAATCCCACAAGTGAGATATGGAGAGGGGAGGATGTTTGCAGATCTTACCCTTACCTTTGAGGTTGAGAGGCTATTTCTGATAGACTTGTTTGATAAAAACAATAACAACAACGTACCTAGGGGACCGAGTAGACAGTGCATACACAAATCTTAGCCTTATCTTGTGTAGGTAGAGGATATGTTTCCAAACACATCCTCACTTCAAGTAAAGCATATCAAAGAAAATAAACTAATTTAATTGTAATTCAAAAAATAATTATGTACATAAAACTCTGTAAGGACTATGTAGAGCATAAATTATGATTTGAACCCTAAAAGATAATACAGGCTCAGAAGAGGAAAATTGAAGTACCTGATTCATTGAGGTACCGGAAAATAATGTAATTCAGGAAATTGAAAATTAAAGAGGCCATTGTTGTGAATCGGCGGCAGAGTAAACAAACAAATGGGACATGCTACTACTACCTCTGATATATATATATATATATATATATATAAAGGGAAAATGGAAACTGGGGATTTCAGTAGGTACAACATTTATATATGAGAGTTAGAATTAGAAATGCTTTTGTTCAAAAGACATTTTGAATGAAGTGTAGACCACTGGATGACTAATGTACCCTCTATGGTCTAGCAATTTTATTTTATTTTTGACAAAAGCACCTGCTTAAAAATAAAACTATGCTGGCAAGATTTGAAACGTTAAATTTATTTTAGCGTATCCAAAAATGGAGAGATTGATTCAAAATTTGAATGAGATGTCTAAATTTGGTAATATATCATAAAACATTTAATCTACTGAATTCAAAATTTATTATTTATGTTATTGTAGTGGATGAATCAAGAAAAATTATACAATTCAGATGAACCCATAAACTAAATGATGAAAAGTTATTTGTGTCCATATCCTCCCCTAACTAGATTGTTTCTAATACACCCTTGGCTCATAAAAATGCTTATGCACTAGAATTGTAACAGAAAAATATTCAATTCGTAGAATTTCACTTGTCTAACAATAACAACATACCCAATGTGTAGGCAAACCTCACCTCTATCTTGTGCAGGTAGAAGCGCATGTTCCCAAACACACTTTTAGCTCAAGTAAAGCATATCAAAGCAATTAAACTCATCTAATAGTGATTCAAATTACAAAATCAAAACTGATCAAAAGTAGAAGTTTAGCATAAAAACACAACATCAATTTCTCCATATATAACTCCGTAAGAACATAAATTATGATATGAACCCTAAAACATATACAAAGGAACAGAGGGAATTATCAAACTGAAATACCTGATTCATCGAGGTGCCGGAAAATAATATAAATTCAATTTGTCGGAGTTGAATCGTCGGTGGTGTAATGTAAACAGAGGAGAATAATAGAGAGGGGCAATTTTGGGATACACCATATTTATAACTCCACAATATTTGATAGTTGAATGACTAATGTACCCTCCACACTCCAGCAAAAAACACCTCGGTTAAAACACAATATATGTTGGTTTTAAATTTATTTAATGGAAAAGTCAAATATACCTATATTCTATTAGAAATTATTTATATTGACCCGTAGTTATACTTTAGGAATCCTTAATTTTTAAAATATATTCTACTTATGCCATATATTTTAGTGTTCCTTTATTTTCAAATTCGAGAAAGGTCAAATATATGCATGTACTATTATATATAGTTTACATATACCTTCGTTATACTTTTGGTTTAAATATACTTCTCTCATTATACTTTTGATCGAAATATACCTCTTTTATTATACTTTGATACAAAATTATCCTTAATTTTAACAGAGAGACAAGCGACAACATCAACAATAAATAACTTCTGCCAATTTTAAATACCTAACTTATCTAAAACCCCACCATAACCCCTTTCAGACCAGTTTCATTTTTTTTTCCAATAATACCCACTCAATTTGAACCCCCAATTTCCAACACGTAAATTCCATCAGTGAGCTCAAATCAAGTTTCCTCTCATTGGAATGGAACAGTGATTAACAATCACATGTTTGTTAATTATTGTGGCGATCTTAAATATTTAATTTAAGATGAAAAGAAAAATCTAAAAGCAGATGGAATGTATAGGGATTGATTAAATGGATAGGTTTCGAAAATAAGTTCGGGTGGGTCATTTATTTCTAAGTTTGCCACATGTTTTTAGTTAAAATTAAGAGCAAATTTGTACCAATTTTTTTTAAATGGAGTATATTTTATCGAAAGTATAACAAAAAGGATATATTTTGATCGAAAGTATAACAAAGTACTATGTATAAATGACTTTTGATAGTACAAGGATATATATGACCATTTTCCATTTATTTAATCATATAAAAAATCGATGGGATAATGCACAAGTAGCCCCCTAAGAAATGACCAAAATTCTAGCAACACACTTAACCTTAACTAGGATCCTATTAGGCCTCCAACTTATATTAAAGTTGAATAAACACACCCCAAAAGTACATGGCAAAGAGTGTGCACACTCTCTTGAAGGCAAGTGAAGACCTAAAAAATTGGACACATGTCTTTTTTAATTGTTATATTTACAATTAGTTAGTACACGTAATTATTTACATCAAAATTTATATATAATTATTGCTCCTTTGGCTGGGTTTGAGAGAAAGAGCGTGAGATAGTTGGTCTAATAACTAATCCAACTTCCTTGTATATGAAAGCAATGACAGGATGTTAGGTCTAGTAAGGAGACTTTTTGGTGTTCGTTGGTTTGGTTTGACTTTACAGTTTGGCTTGTACATCCCTAGCTTAGGCTTTAAGCACATAGGAAAAGACCCAAATACCCTTTAAAATAACTGTAGGATTGATCCTACGGTTGTGACCTACGGTTCGTAGGAATTTCTATGGACCCTACTGGTCAACCATAGACCAAGTACTGGAGCCTAAAATCTCACCGAACTTTGATGAGTTATTTTTACGGTCCGTAGACCCAAATCGTGGAACTCAACTTTTACTCCAAATTTTTACCAAGTATGGAACACTTCTACGGGACCTTCCTACTGTCCATAGAACATTCAAAGAACCATCTGGGTCAACCGTCGAATGAATTACTGGGACTTGATTTTCCAAAAACTCAACTTGGGTTCTATGGTTTACTTCCTATGGACCGTAGCCTATGACCCGTAGGTCGGACTCGTAGACCATTGCTTCAGTCAATTTTCTGCATTTTTCTTTTCTTTTCAACTTTCCAACTTTCGAGGTGTTAAAAATGTGTTCATTTTTTTCATTTATCCTAAATTAAACCTAACAAATTTATCAAAAAAAAGTGTTAAAAATATAACTATGGACCCCACATTGCTAACAAAATCCACCAATGTTGTCTTCTTTGTCAGCTTCATAGAAAAACTCAATGAAAATCCACAATTGCCTCTACTTTTTCTAATAAAATTTGTTATTTTCTCTTGCTTAAAATAAAAATGGATATTAGGTCAGTGGAATAATATTTTAGAAAGAGAAAATAGTAAATTTTGTTGGAGAAAGTAGAGAAAATGATGTTACATTTTATGGAGTTCTTTCTTCGGAGCTAAGAAAGAAGATAAGAATGGTGAATTTTGTTAGCCACATAAGGCCCAT